TACAGAACCCAGAACGTGGCGCGCTTGCCCATCATAGACCTGGCCCCCGTGGATGTCGGCGGCACAGACCAAGAATTCGGCGTCGAGATCGGGCCAGTTTGCTTTGTGTGAAGCAGCCATGGTCCGTCGACAGCGAGCAACACCCTCACCATCCATGGCCCCACCGGTCGCGAGAACCTTGCCTGCGTGAAGCTGATCCTGAGACTCTTGAAGTAGTGGCTGGCTCCAGTCAGCGTTGTACATATGGTCTTACATGCCTGGCCTTAGCCTTCAGAATATTTATTTTACTTACAGTCCTCAAGTGTCCATTGAGTTAAAGGATTTTTCAATACAGAAGTTTAGGTGTAAGATGACCAATGACAATGACCACCTTTAAGAAAAAGTAAACAGATTGAATACATAGTCTTTGTTTTCTTCAGTTTATTTCAATGTAATGATAAAGTTGCTTAGTATTTATGAGAAAACTCCTCTTCCTGGCTGGTAGCTTAGAGAGTGGGGTCTGTGAAACCACAGCACATGTTTATCTCCCGTGGCTGCAGTTGGACAAATCAAAGGTGGTGCCTCTTTGCGACCTCTCAGACCCGATGATCAATTAAAAGTGAAAGATGATCGATCAAGGGTTGCCCTTGAGATAGAAACCCTCGTGCATGTCTTGATATTGTATAACTATCAGAGAGACTCTTTAAAGAGAATCTTGAAAAAAATGGTTCCTCACTGTTTTAAATGGACTTTTTAAATAATATATATTCAGTGAAATTTCTTGAAAACAAAGTGAACTTAGATTTTATAAAGGGTGGTAAGTGTAGACTTTTTCCTCATTCAGATTTAAAGGTATCTTTCCCTCTTGACTTAGCCTATTAATACAGCTGGAAGTCACCATTGAGTAAACCATTGGGCACAGCACTTTCTTGTTTAAGAAGACATTGAATGCAAAACTTTCACACATACAACCTTATCAGCATGTCCAGGACCCAGAGCTGAGAGTCTTCCGATGGCAGTAGCATCGTCCCGAAGCCTGTAACGAAGAAAAGATTGTTTAGAAACCCAGGCGTGGAGCTGACTGATCGGATGTGATGATTGGAAATAGAACCATCTGGCCATTGAACTCTCCGGGGAAACATGACCAACATGTCTTAGCATGAGCTACCTCATCTCTAGAAGCTGGGATGGACTTACTATTCTTGTTTATATTTTAGATACTAAAAGGTGCTATGCTTCTGTTATTATTCCAAGACTGGAGATAGGCAGGGCTAAACTGTATTGTTATTTTTCCTTTAATGATGGTGCTAAAATTCCTCTATAAAATTCTTTAAAAATAAAGATGGTTTCATCAGTGCCATTTGTGAAAGCCTTAGACTTGGCCGTTTCTGAAAGAGGGGCCGCTGCTCCGTGCCTTCCCACCGTCCCCCCTCACGCTGTATCTGGGATGTTTGTAACCTGCCTGCTTCCGAGTCCGAGCATGTCGGGCCCCTGTGTCTCAAGGTTGTTGTTTTTCCTTAATTGCATTGTGTTGGCTCCATTTTAATTTCTTCTTTAACAATAAACAGCTGGGACCATCCCAAAGACAAGCCATGCACACAGCTGTAGTCATGTATCTGCAAAGCATCGAATTAAATGCACGCTTTTGTGACGGCAATGGTTTTTGTTGCGTGGAATTCCTTTGAGCTTATTAGACCCACTTCATTTCCAACAGTGGAAGGAAGGGTGCTGTGGTATTCCTTGCTCACCGTTCGTTTAAAAAGTAAATCAACAAATGTCTCCCACCGACGATACGCTGGCTCATGTATGGAAGTCAAGCTGCAGCGTCACTCAGGAAGGGAAACGTGACACTAATTGCCACTGTCTATGCCCCTAGGACCCTCAGGGTAGTATTATTGACAAAAAGAGAAAAGCAGCTGATTTTTCATGGTTGAAAAAACGGTGCTAATAAAACACGTGTCTCAAAGTGTATCACATAAGAATTTAGCCTAACGTTTTCAGAGTTTTATTTCAATATTTAACAGCATTGTTGTTCCCCAAATCGGTTTTGACTTGTGATCTACATCTTGAATTTGAATATTTATATCCCTAAAGACATCTGTGAGTTTGTCTGCATTAAATCTTCTTTCAAGTTCAACTTATACAGGCTCAGTTCAGATAGATGAGCCAGAAACATGCGGTGATTCAAGTCACAAACACTTATAATCTCCAAATATAGAAATTCTAGTTTATACTTGGAACTCGGGAATGTTTAACAAATAAAAGGCCATTCCAAAGGCCCTTGGATTTCTTGTCTTGAGTTCTAGATTCACAGGTCCCATTAGACCAGTAGACTTTGTTACCTTCATGTCCAACAGACACCTCAAACTCTATGTGATCACAAGCAAAACAATCTTCATCTGGGAGGATGGTGACATTCATTTATTATTAATTTATTAAAAAACCCAAATGGGAATTCCAGAAATCAACTGAAATGAAGAAAAAGGATAAAAATAGCAAAGAAAGCATAAACAATGCTGAAAAATTCCCTGACGCGTAACACAAAATTCGGCAAATTATGGCCAGGTACCATATAACTTATTCCAAATCGAAAAGAGATGCAAAGAAATGATAGGCAGCACCCCTTCTCACGAGAATGGTGTTATATAGCAGAAAGCAAGTGAACAAAATCTGGGGAGAATAAATGATTCTAATTACTGCCCTGAGGGTCTCTGCCCCACTGAGTAAAGAGCACTGAACACAGTTTTTCTTTGGAATTATGAAGAAAAAGCTCATTTGGATCTGAGGCCCAACAGCAGCAAACCAAGGCAATGAGGCTTCAATGAAAACCGAAAGCCTGAGCAGCCTGGGGCATGCCAGTAAGTCGATTTTTTTTTTTTATCAAAATGGCTGGTGTCCCCAAGCGCGGCTTTTCCCTCAGCCTCCTTTATCAATGCATCATCTTATACAATATTCAAATGTCCGCATTCCCCAGGGATCAGTCTTGTCTTCATCTTCACACTCAATCCTCTCTCACCCCGGCCCTTATCCACGCCCATGGCTTCCATTACTATCTATCTAGCAAAAGCTTCACCTGCATGCACACAGCCCAAATCCTCCTGGGAGCTCCGGAAATGCATGTGTAAATGTTTCACCATCTTCGCTGGGTCGTAGAGGTACCTGTAGATCAAAATGCTCAAGAAAATGCACATTTCTGTCTCAGAGCTGATGGATGGCCTGTGAGCCCTATTTCGGGGAACAGCCTCCTCCTCGTCCATCTGTTTAGGCCAGAGACCTGGAGTGAGACTTGGCACCTCTCTCTGCCTCGCCTTGCCAGAACCCTGGCATGGCATGTATTTTGAGTTTTGCCTCTTCAGTGTTCATGAAGGCCATACCCTTCCCTCTCTCTATTCCTACTGCCACTGTCCTAGTCCACGTTACCATCGTTTCTCACCTGGGCTCCGTCAACAGCCTGCAAGTAGGCACCCATTCTTGCCTCTTCTGATGCATTCTTCCCATGAGAACCAGAGCAAATCTGAAATGTAAATCTGAACATCTCACCAGACTCGGCCCCACAACCCAACGCAACACATACGCAGGACACCTTAAAAGCTTCCGTGGTCTCTTCTAGGATGAAGTCAGGCATCCCGAAGCCCTATGGAGCTCTGGCAGGCCCTGAGCCCTGCCGACTTCTCATGCTGTATTTTCCCACCATCTGCCTTCCCCTCTGCTCCACACACAATGGGCGTCTGTCTCATTTCCTAGAAGCCAGATTCCCACTCCTGTCAAAGACCGTTTGATGGGTTTTCCTTGGCTCAGTTTACTGGCACTCATTTTTCAGTGCCCTGCTCAACGCTACCTCCTCACAAAACCCTTCCTAATCTCCACACCTTTCACTGGCCCAGGGTGACATCCCCTGTTGTAAATTTTCTTGGCAGCTGTACTTGTCTTTACAACCTATGATGCTTCACACAGTTGTAGGATTACTTGTTTAGTTCCACTCTTCTCTATTAATTGTACTTGTTACAAGGGCAAGACTATTTACAAGGATCCAACATACTGTGTGTTATTTGTGTTTGTTCAAAGGACATTTAATAAGTGAATTATGAGAAGTTATATACTATGTAACTAGAAAATTATGTTTAGAGAGCATTTATACTTGATTTATGTACTAGTGTGAAGCAATTATTACTATTGTATTATTATTACTGTTTCTATTAGTATTATGGATATGAATATCCAAATTTATATGGAACCAAAAAAGACCCCAAATAGTCACAGCAATCGTGAGAAAGAAGAACAAAGTTGGAGGGATCACAGTACCAGATATCAAGCTGTATTACAAAACAGTCTGGTACTGGCACAAGAACAGGCATATAGATCAATGAAACAGAACACAATCAAGAAATCAATTCAAGCTATGCTCAATTAATATTTGACAAAGGAGGCTAGAACATACAATGAAGTCAAGGCAATTTCTTCAATAAACGGTCTTGGTAAAATTGGACAGATACATGCAAAAAAATGAAACTACATCACCAACTTACACCACACACAAGAATAAACTCAAAATGGATAAAAGACTTAAATGTAAATAGTGAAACCATGAAAATCCCAGAAGAAACCATAGGCAGGAAAATCTCAGACATCTCTCATAGCCATATATATACAGATACAGCACCTAGGGCAAAGGAAACTACGGAGAAAATAAACAAATGGGACTACATCAAAATAAAAAGCTTCACAGCAAAAGAAACCAACAAAATAAAAACAAAGCCCACTGTATGGGAGAACATATTCACCAATGATACATCTGACAAAGGTTTAATATCCAAAATACATAAGAAACTCATACAACTTAACAAAAGGAAGACAAATAATTCCATTTAAAAAATGGTTAAAGGATCTAACTAGACACTTCTCCAAAGTGGACACACAGAGGCCAAGAGACACATGAACACATGCTCAAAGGCACTGGTCACCAGGGAGATGCAGATTAAAACGACAGTGAGGTGTCACCTCACCCCTGTCAGAATGGCTGCCACCAACAAACCAACAAACGACAAGTGCTGGTGAGGATGCGGAGAAAAGGGAACCCTAGTGCACTGCTGGTGGGAATGCAGACTGGTGCAGCCACTGTGGAGAACAGTATGGAGCTTCCTCAAAAAATTAAATATGGAACTGCTGTTTGACCCAGTGATCCCACTTCTAGGAATATATCCTAAGTGACCTGAAATGCCAATCAAAAAGAACATATGTGTCCTATGTTAAGAGCAGTGCGATTTATAGTAGCTAAGATCTGGAAACAGCCCAAGGGCCAATCAGGAGATGAGTGGATAAAAAAGCTGCAGTACATTTACACCACGGAATACTATGCAGCTGTAAAAAAGAAGGCTCTCTTACCCTTTGAGACAGCATGGAGGGACCTGGGGGAGTATTATGCTGAGTGAAATAAGTTAATCAGAGAAAGACAAATGTCACATGATCTCACTCATATGTGGAATCTAATAAACAAAATAAACTGATGAACAAAATAGATCCAGAGACATAGACGCATAGAACAGACTTGGAATCTCAGAGAGCAGGTGGGGAGGGTGGGTGAGTGGGAAGAGATCAACCAAAAAACTGGTATGCATATATGCATCACCCATGGACACAGACAATAGGGTGGTGCAGGCCTGGGGTGGAGGGTGGAGGCGGGCTAGAAGGGTTCAATGGGGGGAAAAGAGGGACATATGTAATACTTTCAACAGTAAAGATTAAAAAGGAATAAGAATATCATAGATGAAATGATTCTATTCACAATGATAATAGCAACATACAACACTAAGTGCTACGCATGACAAGAAATTTGTAAAACCTGACTGAAAAACCCTGTAACATTGAGATGTATAAAATAGGATAAAAAATGGACTAAATGTGCCTATTGTCATGGGGAGAAGCTCAGTATTTGAAAAATGCAATTCTTTTTTCTAAATTAATACAGAAATTAATAATTCCCTCCCTATAGGATTTTAAAAACATGGAACACGACAAAAACACTCTAAAGCTCATTGGACTAAAAAATATGCAAGAAAAGTGATAAAAGAATCTCCCCCTAAAAAAAAAAACAAAACAAAACAAAAAAAAAAAACACACCCAAAAATGGTGAGTTAAGGTGGGTCACTGGCCCATGTAGATATAAAAAAATAATTAAAAAGCTACTTCCCATGGTAAAAGAAGAGTATTTAGAAATGAACCCATGTATCTGTATTAGAGTTTAATATGTAATTAAATTCTCATTTATTTAGTAAATGGTAATACAGAAACTTATAGATATTTATCATTTTAAAGCATGTTTCCTTTCTTAACCTTTGTACCAAAACCTTTCCCAAATGAACTCAATATTTCAATTTTAAAAAAACCTCTAAATATATTACCACAAAATATTTTGAGTAGTTTTGTAATCTTGGAATGGGAATGAAAACAAATATATAAGTAATAACGTAAAAGGTTGGAAGATTAGATTCTAAAATAAATTTTAAATATATATTATAAAACTCTTAATAAGCATGCTTGCAACCATGCTCAAACTGGGAAAATTTTTGTAATAAAATATGACAGAAAAGGTTTAATATACTTTATCTTAGGAAGCAGTAAGAAAGAAATGAAACATGCAAACTTCTATGTAGATAACTC